GCGGCGGGGAAAGATGGGGAACTGCCTCAAGTCCCCCACCTCTGATGACATCTCGCTGCTGCACGAGTCGCAGTCGGACCGGGCCAGCTACGGCGACGGCACCGAGCCGGATCAGGAGCCGCCGCCGCCATATCAGGTAGCGGCGGGCGCAGAGGGGGCGGCCGGGGTGAGCCCAGGTGAGCGGCGCCGGCCCCCCCGGCCGCCCGCGGGGGAAGTTTCTTTGTTCCCCGCGCCCGGCCACTCGGGGCCTTCCGCGAGGGGAAGCGGCTCGTTAGTTATTTACATATACGTGTACGTAGATGGGCTTTGGCCATGCAAGGATGACCTCAGATTGAGGCACAGGGCCATAGGTGATGAGAACAAAACAAGGCACCGATCCCAATTAAAGCTAGAAGAGAGAGCTGTTTATTACTATTTTTGCTGTTATTTTTCCACCCATATCTCTAGCGTCTTCAGAGGATGACCCAGCCTTCTGAGCGGTCACAGTGGTCTCTAGGTTTCTGGCCAGAAAGGGGGGAGAGTGTGTGTGTGTGTGTGTGTGTGTGTGCAGCCTCCTTTGTTGTCCTGGCACGGTGACATCACTGTCTGGTTGCGCTTTTCGTATCTGCTTAAGCCAGGGACCTCACGCGTTTTGCCCCCAGCCTGGGCTTTGTGTCTGGTCATGTTTCAGCCTACACTTTGCTCACTTATTTTTAGCTGTAACTCACCCTCAGTAAGTAACTTGGCTAATGCAGTAGGTCCTGTTTCCTTCAGTTGTGTGTGATACCAGAAAGGAAATGTTTTCCCATTGTTTTGTTTCTTTCTGTTTTGTGTGTCTGAAAGAATGTATTCTTTTGCAGCTTATGACCAATTGGCAAGGTTAAAAAAAAATAAAAAAGTAGATGTTTTCGTCTATAATTTTGCTCATGTTGATACGGAACTGTGATGCCGTTAGTAGCAAAAAGCTTGCTCTTGACCTCTGGTGATGACCGCAGAGAGGAGGAAGCTGAACCTGCGGTTGCACTTATCTGTTCCTTGTCACCTCTATCCCCGTAGGTAGAAACATACACTGCTTTAAACAAGTGGTCTGAAGTAGGTGATTGTATGGCCATAAAAAATGGGGAAAAAAATCTAAGAAATAAGGGAACATAAATGGTACAGCTACAAATACATTTTGTATTTGAGTTTCAGAAATACCGCACACTGGAAGAGTAAAATGCATTCCATGGAAACCTATAAAAATGACAGATTGGCATGTAAATTCTAGAAGGTGATTTGAGAGCGCTTTATTTTCTAAGAGGGGAGTCATTTGGTAGTTGCAGAATGGACATGTGATTAACAAAATTGCAGGAAGTCGTTACCTGGGTAGGCTTGTAATCTACAAATGCTTTAGCAAGTTCAGGAATCGCAGCTCCGACATGAGTTTCCTTCAGCATTTGGGAGAAGCTCTGTATGTAGCAGTTGCTGATGCTGCAGTGAAACAACAGTGGTGTTTCTTGGCAGTGCAGAGCTGTTTGTTTTGTATATGTGCAAGAGATTAATATTGGAACGAATTTGCTCACCTGAGGACTTCTTCCTAAATTCTGAATTATGTGTGTTGAACTCCAGTGAATAGAAAATTTTGTGTCATATGAAGTTTTTTTTTTTTTTTTTCTCCTTTCTTTCCTCTTTAAAGGCCCCATTAGTCTAAGCTTAGCCTAACTGATCCATCCTGTTTAGGAATGCATTGCATTTTTGTTAAATGTATAAAATGTTGCTGTGCATGCTATTTGTTGTCTGTTCATCTAGTAGGATTTGTGGAGGTTGGGGTTTTTTTTGCTTGAAAACAACCTGTTGGAGGCTTGATTCAAGCGTGCATGCTCTGCAGGTCTTCCCAGGTTGCTTTCAGTGAGAGATAAGTTGTCTTAGCCTCAGCCTCTGGGACTTTTTTTCTTTTTTTCAAATTAAAAACTTCTTGGATGTAAGTGAAGATGGTTAACTGATGAAACAGTGTACTGTAAAATAAGTGACCATATAGATTTCTGTTATTGATTAAGTACATTCACATTAAGCCTCCCTCAGCTATAAAGCTGTGCGTCAGTAGGTGGATCAGCACGCAAGAGTTTGGCTGCCCTGAAACTCCTGTACTGATCTTAATGATCCCTAAATCTTAGGGCTAAGGAGGGCAAATCCCATCCATGGCATTTGGTGCGATTTTCCTGCCTTGTAAAGTTGAAACTCAAAGCTGTGCTTCCCACAACTGTCAGACCACGATGCTTTGTGATAAGAGGCAATCCTGTAGGTATGGTTGACTTAGTATTTCACATGCTTTGAGGTCAGGGGAAATATGCTACATTTAAGAGTTTTAAAATTTTGAATTGTTTTAGGTAGGCCAAACCCTGAAGTTGAAGAGTTCTTTATGGTCTGCTGTGATAGCAATAGTGCTACTGCTATTTTCACTTTTAGGTGACAGCTTCAAGTCAGTGTTATGAGTGGGGTTTCAGGCCCTTTTTCCTTGTATGTGGTAATTGCTGCTTCTGTAGTGTTTTAACTAGAATTGGAGTGTATATATGGAAAGAGTTTGAAAGCTTGCTGGTGGTATCTAGCAGCCTTCACAAGAAACTCTGCAGTACTAAAGGTTTAAGACTTAGCTCCTGAAATTTCAGCCATAAAATGGACATATTTTAGAAGTCAAAGTCTCTTACGTTTGCTTCTTGGGGTTTGCAACAGTGATGTGCCAACTTTCTCCATGCATCTTGTAGGTGTGAACTGAGGACAGGAGGCCGGTTTGGTGAAGAAACATTTACATCTTGGATCTGCCTTAGCAAGTCTTTAAGAACTGGTAGTCTTGCATACAAGTCCCTTATTCATGCCTGGTTTACTTTCTGCTTTTGATCTCTCTTTTTCCTACCCTTCCTTTAAAAGTTTTGTTTTACAGTCCAGGCCTCTGCAGTAAAAGAAGGCAGTGCAAGTGTTGCAGATCTATGGATCTCCCTGTCTTTTCCTTCCTTTCTCTGGCTATTTTTGTGGCAATGTATTTTGTGTAGTGCAACAGAAAGGCCTCAGAGAGAGAACATCTTTTCCAGCAGGGGCCTAAATAAAAGAGAAAATGGTCCAGCAGAGTGTCACCCATTTTCTAGTGCATCAAGGTCAGGAGCTGACATGGGAAATGATTAGAAGACAAAAGTAAAAGAGCACGTGTGTGTATGTGGGGGGAAGTGATTTCAAGTGTATACCGGTGCTTTCTGAGAGACAGTGTCGTTCTCCCCCCGCCGCAGTGCCTCCACTTCAGAAACTGAAACTACAGCTGTATTGCTGAGCAAAGACAGCTCCATCCCTAACTGGTGTATCTGTGATGAGGAAAGAGTTTTGTTTTTGTTTTGCCTCAAGTCCCCAAAACTGAGTATGCTTTGTTTTTCCTTTCTGTCTACGGCTTCTTTGCCATCTGTTGGCAACGTGCCTTCTGCTGCTTTTCCAGACAAGTTCACTGCTTTCTCCAGTTTCTAATACTTCTAGGAGTTCTTCTCAAAGACTTTATTTTTGCAGAACAGATGTGCCACTTGTTCTTAAATAGTTCCATAACAGTTGCAGAAAATATTTTCATAGTTTATTAAATTTGGATTTTTTTACAGTAAACTACCAATACTTAGGGGAAAAAAATAGATACAAAAAGTATAACTGTGGATGAAATACTTTGTACTTTTTTAAAGAGATATTCCAAAGATGTAAAACACTTACTAAAAGCATGAGAAGTAAGTGAGAGTCCTTGATATTGATTCTGAATGCTTAGAAGTATCTTTGAAATTGTGATATGGAATATAGGCTAGTGCTGTTTGTCCTTTAGCTGTACGGTTTCTCAAACTCACTGTGATGCTCTGTGCCACCATCCTCTAAAATATTTTAGTGGAGCTAGTGTCTTTTTTTAGTTATTAGAAGAGATGCATTTAAAACCCTTAGATATGGAAACTCCTTTTCGCAGACCGTAGGCCTGTGAAATGAGACAGGAGCTCACACAGGAGAGCTTCAGATAGGGCCGTGCTCCCATAAACTCAAAGCTGCTGGAGATGACAGGCTTTGAAAGCAGAGTTTGGGGAGGGTCTTATGGCCTCTGTTAAATTGAGGCTGCCCTAATAACCCCCTCGGGGCTACCTAGTGAGCATCACTAGCAAATGTTGAGCTCTGACTCTTCTCCCTCTGTGCCCTGGGCTGGGTGGCACCCTCTGTGCCCAAGTGGGAAGTCTTGCTGGATCCTCTGAGCACAGTGCTGAGGATGTGGCCCTGGAGTGTCACTTGTCTGAGACACTAAAAGAAATCCTCAGTTTGAACAGTCAGAAATTTATATGAAATGTTCTGCTACTTTTCTGCTTGAAACTTGCCGTTGTGGGGCATGACATTGAATTCATTCTGCTCAGCAGAAAAACAAAGCTGTCACTAAACACTCCTCGTTATTACTCCTCAACACAAGTAATACAGGTATTCTGATGCTGCCTCTTAAAAGGCATGTTAATTAATTAGTATCATTAAAAATCACATACCAGAATACCTCTGGCATGGGAGTTGTGCTTATTCATAGAAATATCTATACAGAAATCTACAGGGCCGGGATTGAGATGGTTTGAGCCTGGTGACCGTGTGTGTAGTTCAGGAATGAGTGCTGCAGTCCTGCAGGGTGTTGGAGGTGGCATTGAGTGCCTGCGTGAACCAGAGCTATTGCTGTGCACTGGAACAGCGTAAGAGAAGGAAAGATGTGACTGGTGGGGAATAAAAGTATGTATAGAAAGTGACCTATCTTTTATTTAATTTAAAAAAAAAAAAAGACAAACCCAGTAAGTTTTATGCAAGACAAAGGAATAAAAAAATTAATGTGCAGTCCTCTTCTGCCATGGCTCTGCAGGCCTTGCTGATGCTGGTGAATCAGAGTTACATTTGGGGACCTGAAGGGAGACACTGATCCTCTGTGGGTTCAAACCCTGAGAGTGCATGAGGGAGAGCATCTCCGTCGAGGATGTCACTAGCTTGTGTGTTCGGGCCGTGTTGACCCAGGTGGAGATGAGCCTTGATGAGGAGTGACAGGAGCTGAAGTCTGGCACTTATGACATGGATGGGAAATGGTAGAGTAAGCTAGTGTTGTTTTGTGTTTACTTCTTCCAAAGAATATGATGCTAAAGCTGTCTTATA